TTTCCAATCAAATGACATTGGGGCAGACGAAAAGCAACAAGTAATTCTCTAGACACCTTGTGGACCTGCAGCTTTTCCAGTTATTAGAAGCTTAACTTTCCCTGAGGCACCACAAACTAATGTTTGGTATGTGGGAATAATGTTGTAAGCATGCAAAAGCAAATACTAGCTGAAGCTCAACTGGTTTTCAAACAGGCACTACAACTGGCTTTATCATTGGAAAATGTGGCAAGTGGAGTTACAGTCATGAGCGTATTCTGACAGAAGTGGACACCCTTTCCAGGCCGAATGAGCTTGGGGAACACCCCTTAAGTGAAGGCAATTGCATAGCCTCATTCAGGACATATCCTGAAAAGAGGAACTCTAGGTTGGCGCACAGCAAAACTCCAAAACGATGCCAACCCTTGGCCAAATGGTTAAAATTCTCTCCAGGATCCAGGCCAGCAGGCCATTTTAGTTGCTGCCAGTATGCAGACTCGAGATAGCGAAATAATTCACTAGGGCTGAACTGAGTAAGAGAACTCATAGGCCAGTATCCAGGACAGTGCACACCCTGGAAAGCCCACCTCTCTCTGGGTTTGGAACAGTTAAATTGCTTAGCAACATCCAAATCAGAACCAATCAAAATAAACGTCTGGCTAAATGGTTACTCAGTTCTGATGAAAGCTGATAGCAGCATGGCTATATCAGTGATTGTGGAACCGGTCTTTACCAAAATTCTGGACTCTAGACTCCAACCCTTAAGTTTGCATAAGACCTTGGCCAGGCTGAGAACATATACTGGGGAACCCCTACAGGTTAAGGGTACAACTTCATTTCCTGTGTCTTTTATGAGAAACAGCTGGTTCAGTTACCACTGATTGTAGTGAAAGGCTCAGGACCAAGCTTGACGAGGCAAAATTGGTTGAAAAAGATTCAACTTGATTGGCTCTACATTTTTCGATAGAAAATTGTTGCCTGAGTGAAGTCCTAATTAAATACCTGGAAGTTTTTAAGGAAGATCTGGGGACTATCAAAGGAGCCAAGGCCACCTTGTATGTTGACCAGGAAGCAATTCCATGATTCTGCAAGGCCTGCGCAGTGTAGAGTGCAAAATTAGAGGCTAGAAAGCAAAGAAATCATAACCAGCACAGTTTGCGGAATGGGCAGCACCAGTCGTACCGATGTGAAGCCTGACGGGTCAGTTCTCGTTTGTGGGGATTTCAAACAAACGGTAAACCATTTTTCACAGCTGGATAAATATTCAATCCCCTGCATTGGGATTTTACACAAAACTGGCAGGGGGCTCTCCTTCGTGAAGCTGGACATGAGCCATGCATACCTGCAATTGTGATTAGATTAGGATTCCCAGAAGTATGCTATAATTAATACCCATAAGGGTCTGTACCAATATTCGAGACTTCTTCATCAGCCTGTGCTATCCTCTCCAGCAGACGATGGAAAACATTTTACCAAGTCTACTTCAGGTTGCCATTTATCTCGATGACATGCTAATAACTGGGAAGACCAATAAAGTGCACTTAGGAATCTTGGTCATAGTGTGAGAAAGTTCCACCTATACCTTCATGGATATAAATTTGTTATGGTGACGTTTTTCCATGATTGATGTACGTCTTAGGAGGGAAAAATGTGTGTTCTAGGCACCCAAGTAACATACTTGGGCTACAGAATTGACAAGACTGGGTTACACCCGTTGCAAGATAAAGTCCGGGTGATCAAAGGTGCCCCAGCTCCCATGTCTTTACCAGAGCTTAGGTCTTTCCTTGGATTGGTGATTATCATGGAAAATTCATACATAACCTGGCCTCCATCCTGGCACCCTTATATCTGCTATTGAAAAAGGTTCAGCCTTGGAAATGGTCTTGCAGCTAAGATGCAGCCTTTAGCAAAGTGAAGAGGCAGCTGTCATCATCTAAAGTATTGGCATACTATGATCCCAAGTGAGATGTGGTGCTGACATGCAATGCCTCCCTGTATGGTGTCAGGGTAGTATTGGCTCACAGATGGCCCAATAGAGAAGAACGCTCAATAGTGCATGCTTCGCAGATTTTGGCTGATGCCGAACGAAGGTATACCCAGATAAAGAAGGAAGGCTTGGTGGTCATCTTTGTTGTGAGAAAGTTCCACCAGTACCTTTAATGGACATAAATTTGTGATAGTAACTGACCACAAACCCCTGCTCGGGCTACTTAAAGAGGACAGGGCCATGCCATCCATAACTTCAGGTCATATTCAGCAGTGGGCTGTTATTCTGATGTATACAATTACAAGTTGAAACGCCGTTCGGGAGGCCAAGTGGCAAAAGCAGATGCCTTCAGCCACCTCCCACTGGCAGATACACCACTGGTGGTGCCGTCACTAGAACAGTCCATTCTGGTTTTAAACTTTCTCGACACCCTTCTGGTCACCACTGACAATATTTGACTGTGGACACAAAACAATCCCATCCTGAAAAACTAAAACAGCCGGTGATAATGGGGGAAACAAAAGGGCCATCACAACCAGAAATGAAACCTTTCTGGACTCAGCAAGACCAGATCACAGCATATTATTATGGGGAGCGAGGGTGTTCCCGAGCAAAGGTCACTGCCAGATATTGGCTGAACTCCACCAGGGTCATTCAGGGGTTTGCAAAATGAAGATGTTGGCAAGCAGTTATGTCTGGTGACCAGGATTGGATGCCAACGTAGCTGCATTGGTAGGGCAATGCCCAGAGGTCCAACAAGGAAAAAAATTACTGCCAGCAGCTCCCCCACATTCGTGGAAATGGACAGGTAAACCCTGGACTCAGTTACACACTGACTATGCAGGTCCTTTCATGGGCTGTTTGTTTTTAGTCATTGTGGAAGCCCATTCAAAATAGTTGGATGTGCATAGAGTTCATTCGTCCAACATAGGGACCATAATTGAAAAGTTGTGAGCATCTTTTGCAATACACAGGCTCCTGGAGGTGTTAAGTCACAAACAATGAGCCATCATTTACCAGCAGTAAATTTGAGTATTTCCTAAAGACAAATGGCATTGACATGTAAGGACAACTCCATACCATCCATCATCCAATGGTCTGGCAGAAAGAGCAGCCTAAGCTTTGAAGGCAGGCCTAAAGAAACAGTCTACAGCTTCACGAGATACCAAACTGTCCCGGTTCATATTTGATTATATGACCACCCCTCATGCAACTACAGGGATAGCTCTAGCAGAGTTGCTAATGGGGAGAAGACTCCGCACCAGGTTAAATCTGATCTTCCCGGACCCGGAGGGAGGGTGAAATGGGATCAGGAATGCCAGTGCTGGACACAAGACTCCTCTAAGCGAGAGAGACAGTTTACCTCAGAAGATGAAGTTTGGTGTCGAAATCACAAGAGTGGCCTTGCATGGTTGAGAGGCATGGTCGATGCGAGGTCAGCTCCCGTGATGTGAAGTTCGGGTAGGGTCCTGATCACGTGTGTGGACCACATGAAAGCTGCACACTCGCGAATGGGGCAGGAGTAAAACAAAACTGGCCCTTCAGAACGTCTGGCAAGGCTGTCAGAACCCATGGGTTCTCCCTCTTCGCATAGTGTCAAAGAATGTCTGAGGACAAGATGGACATGGCGATGTTGCAGCCCTGACTCTGTTACCGTCCCATAAAGATGAATTTTGGCTGAGACACTCTGTGTGCAGGAGGTAGATTATGGTCTGGTTCACGCCACCAGTGTCCGAGACAGAGTGGAAAAACACCTTAGGAGTAGCTGCAGGAGAAAGAATGGGCCTATGTTCCAGGACTTATAGGTGGAGGCATGTAGTGATTAGAACAAGGTCAGCCAGGTAGACCTCTTAGAATATGAGTTCCCTGATTGGGGCTGTTAATGTGGTCCAATCAGGGAGACCTGGCTGACAGATGTAAACAGGAGTATCACGCATTCTGTTCGCTCTACAAGCCAGCTGTGTGCTAGCTGGGTCAGTGTCATGTACTATGCACATGTAAATAAAGGATGATTTGGTGACGGGCTACTGGCCTTTGTAAAGTTATTTCAATGCATACTTTCACTTCTAATTTTTAAAAAAATAAATTCATGATTTATAGGTTGTTGCCAGTAATGCCTGTGTTAACTGCCTATCCCTAATTGCCCATGAGAAGTTAATGGTTCTTGAGAACAATTTAGTAGCTTGTAGGGGACAATTTCAGAGCACTGTTCAAAATAAATAAATAGCCTGGAGACGTATATGGGCCAGAATAGATAATGGGAGCAGATCGCCTTCCCTTAAGGATATTAGTCAATCAAATGGATTTTTGCAACAATCTGACAGTATATGGCCACTGTTACTATCTTTTGAATACAGATTTTATTTAGTTAATCTAAGTTAGATGGCAGGATGGGATTTGAACTCGTGTCTCTAAATTATTAGTCCGGGGTTCTGGTAAAAAAGTTCCCACACCCCATGCTCTTTCAAAATATCTCCTCTGTAACAACGCATAACTATAAAATTATAAGAGGAGCAGCTTATTTTGCCATCTACCCACCATATCCCCCTTCAAGTCCAGCAGTCCAAAGTATTCCTGGTTATTGGATATGTGGTGGCAGCGGCAAGGCAAAATTTGCTATACATGACTTCAGTTATTGTGAAGATTTTAGGACTCATTCATCAGGAGTTCAGCCTAAGTGTTAGAGATTTTGGTTTACCTATTTGGCCCCATTCAGGGGCATTGTTTAATTTATATTAACACTTTCCTTGCCAAAAGCAACCAGAATTTCCAATGCTCATAAAACCAATGATTTAGCTAACAAGTGTGCTTGTGTGTGTGTTACTGGAAAGCTGCGTAAGCTAGCATTGATGTGGATGGAGAGTGTGGAAAACTGCCTGATGCACTGTACTTTTAACTTCAGGAAATGAACTCAACTTGACAATTCCAGTTGGCTGCAATGATATGCAAGATGTTCTGCACGAAGTAAACATTCTCAGTGTCTTAATTTTTCAACGAAAATGGCAAAACCCATGCCAAATGTAGCAAAGATCACTTCGTTTTCTAACAGGTGTATTGCAATTCTGAATTAAAACTGAATCATTGAATGGTGAATAGAGGGCACCACTTACAGTGCACACAATGTTACATTATATGCTGTCGGTTTCAGACTTCATACCAATGTGCAGTTTCTGCTTTCTACTGTAAATCCAAAACTGTGACCTTCTCCACCCCAGCGTTCCACATAAACTAAGATTTCAATCCTATTTATTAGGTAAAAACTAAATGTCAGGAACATATCTGTAAATTCTCAAACACATAACCACTAATATCTCAATAATAAACAGCACAGGGAGCAACCATCTCTAATCAATAAACTAAGGTGCAATACATCATTCAATAATTCATACCTCTCAGTCATTGAGGAGTTAATCCACAATACAGAATGGTTGGAAATAGAAATCAACTACTTGTACTTTAAAAGATGATGAAATATTGAATTGTTGTAATGCCATATGTCAAAGTATTCAGTTAGGATGCTTAAATCAGTGTCATTATTTAGAACTTAAACTTGATTAAGCCTCTTGAATTGTATTGTCTCTGTGATTATTCCAGACAGTAGCAATGATGGTCAGTTCATAGTGCAGGGACAGAGCTGAGAGGCTGGATTCTTCTCTGCAAAGTAACCAATACAAAATGAAACATGCAGGTTTTATCGGTCAATAGGCATGTGAAGCTTGAGCAGGAACAATGAGCCGTTTGTAACTCAGCAGCGAATTCTGGCAGGCATTTTACTCCTCCATGTCTTGATATGCAAGGTATGCAACTATTGTATAGAGCTCAGGTCAACAGGGGCCTTTAGTGTGCATTTGTTTTTCTCTCTGTTTCTTTTAAAGCAGGTTGCCATGGTTATATTAACACAAAACAGATCGATCTACAATCTGTGAATGAATATAAGAACATCATTTCCCCTTTTTATAATTTTTTTTTACAAAGACCAGTGCTAGAAGCACTTTGTTAGTGTCTGTGTTTTCCATCCTAATAGGCAAATGTGATACCATACGTGACTTGATGGCCATTGTCCCATGCATACAGGATACGCTCTTTGGGGTTGTAATCAATTTGGGTTGTGTAAGAGTACTCATTGGTAAATGGCAGCCGTGGATTGATTTGTGTGTTTGTATGGGTGTCAAAAGCATATGAGATGTTAGCATGCTTGTTGTTGTAGCTGTCCACTGCATACAACACCCCACAGACTATGAAGCAGTTGCCGTAATAGTTCTTCCTCAAGCCGGTCCTCCAGGTCGTCTCCTTTTGGATGGACAGGTCGACAGTGTTGAGCCTACTGATGATAATGACCTCTTGCAAGGAGCCCACATCATCAATGGCTGGGTAAATCACCCACAAACCATTCTCATCAACGGCAAAGTCTATGTCGGAGTGGCCCCTCCACCTCCAGGGTGTGGCCTCATCATACACTGCATCATGAAGCAGGGTCCAGGCAGCCACATACCTTTGCTTCAGGTCATATTTGATAATATTGCGAGTGAAAGCTCTATTGTAGTAGAAAGCCCCACCATACACCACATGGCCCGTACCAATCCAATTGTATGGAAGTTTGTACGAGTTACTCCAGCGACCTGAAAGGAGATGTGACAGGAAATTTATTTTTCATATACGCCTAATCATTTCTCATTAACTCAATTGAGGACATTGTTCAGATGCCATGAGCACCAGCTGCTCATCCACCACTTTAGTCAACTATCCATTCTCCATGTGGGATCCTAAACAGTAATATTACAAGACTACACTCATATGTGGGAAATCGAAAGGAAGGCCATTTAGCCCTTGAACCTGTTCTAATATTCAATCAGATCATGGCTGGTCTATACCTTAACTTCATCTTATTCACCTTGGTTGCATAAAATGAAATTGTAATCAATATAGTAGCCTACTTCCCAGCAGTGTTGAAGCCACCAGCTGTACTTGCAGTTGAAATCAATTAACTCATCTTATTCTGCACGGTTCAACTCTACATGAAGCAATGTATTTACCAACTAGAAATAATAGGTTGCTTTGTTCTGTACTGTAATTTAGTACTCAGCAATGAAGCTGTTATGATCTGCAAATCCTGCCTGAACACTTCAGGTGTCAAGTAGCAATTCCAGGAATTATCTGTTGCATAGATTCGAAAGAACTTGAAAAGTCAAGTTTAACAGAAATTGGATATCTATCCAGAACTTAGCTATAACAGTTTATTTAGAAGGTTTACATTTATTGTCGCCTTTTTAATTGTCTCACTAAATTTAAGCTACAAGATTGGATAAGCAAGGACTTGCCAATTCAGATGGACAGAAGAACTGTAAAATTAATTGTATTGATTTTTCACTTTTATTCCACTTATGTGGTGTGGCTGAGATCAGGACCTTAAGGAACAGGTTGTCACCAGTGTTAGATGCCAGTGTGCCATTTCTTCATTACAAACACGGGTGAACTACCACATTGATGCGAAATTCCCTCTCATACAATCTTCCTTGGAAGTATGTAGTTTGTGATGCATATTTCACTTTCTCCCTTCATTGTCCCCTGAGATCACGTAGCCTGCTACAGCCCCTTTTTAATGTTGCTACCAAACCACTGGCAAACACTGTTTCCTTACTCAGACACTCCCCACAATGAAGCAGTCGTGCAAGATAGATTTCCATCTCTATGTCCCCTACTTCTGCAGGACTGAGAGTCACTTAAGAAATGGATTTGAGATAACAAGGTGTAGAGCTGGATGAACACAGCAGGCCAAGCAGCATCAGAGGAGCAGGAAAGCTGACGTTTCGGGTCGAGGG